CGGCCGGAGCGCGGTGGGCGGAGAGGACGCGCAGGGAGGGACCAGGAGGGGGTGGCAGGGAGGCAGCAGCTAGGAGCCGTCGGCTCTGCGGCCCCGGAGGCTGTGGCCCCCCACAGCACTCGGCAGCAAAACAGGCTGCAGAGATAGCTCCGGGGTCACCAGCTGTCCCATTGCCCTACCGGGCTGCTCCCGACTCTCAGGCCGCAGCGCAAATCAGCACAGCTGGGGGCGAGAGAGTTAATCCTGTTTACGCACCACAATCCCCTCCAACCCTGGAAGCGGTCATTTAGGCTCCTCCTAGAGCAAACAGCACGGGCGGGAGGAGAAGGTGGGGACTGGGGCAGGGCCTGGGGCCCAGAGACTACTACACCCAGGAGTAAGACCCTCCCAAGCTGGACGCTGCCTCGGTCACAGGGGATGTGGATTCTGCCGCTGGCAGATCGGCCCCAGCCAGGCAGGAGGAGGCCAAGAGGGGAAAGGAAAACGGGAAGTGGGTAGAAAACCGCTAGCTAATGATTTAAATTTCAGGAAATAAGAGTGTTTCCAAGGCACAGGGAAGGAGCGATTTCAACTAATGGGGACTGCATGCCACATTGGATTAGGAATGTACGCAGAAAAAAATTCTGTCCAAGGAGCTACTCTTTCTTGTAAGAGTGCAGCTTGACACACATCTTGAATCAAGAAAGACACGGTGTAATTAATCACATATACTTACACAGATCTCGAAGGATAAGCTGGTAACGCTGTCAAAGGTAACTAGCAAGTGCCTAAGAAAGACCTGGTGACACAGGCCAAGAGGAAGGATAGGTCAGAGGATTGTTGATGAGAGACCTCATGTGACCCCGCACAGTTTAAATTTGCATATCAAGTGTGATTCGAGAGTCTGTGGCAGAAGGTGCCTATCAGCTGGTGATTTGGGGAGGCAGGGAGACAGACACCAAGTGTATTGGGGCTGGGAATGACTTCAGAGGACGCAGACCAAGTGTCTGCTTCAGCACCACCCAGGTGGATAGTACCAGAGCCCTGAGCACACCTGAGAAAAAAGCAGGCGAGGGTTCCTGAGAAAGCTAGGGCAGCGAGGGACTGAAAGGTTTTTTTTTGGTACAGGGGATCAAACTCTCGTCCTTGCGCTTGCGAGGCAGGCGGCGGAACCATTCAACTAAAAGCCCAGCCCTGAGTCTGAAAGATTTTATTCGCCCAGGTTAGACAATACCCTACCTCTTCTGCCTCTGATGTGTATTTAATACTGATATTTACTGCAATACTGGTTGCAAAAATCAGCCAATAAAGAAATAGTAGAATAAATTCTCATGTACGCATGACACAATATTATGCAACAATTAAGGTAATGAATTATGTTACATTGGCAAATACATATAATAAAACTTTATAATAGTGGGTGGTGGCAAACTGTGGAAGCCTAAAGGCGAGAATTTTATCTATTTTGTTCATTGCTGTGTCCCCAGCTTGTACACAAGAGCACCTGGCACCTAGCAGGTGGTGCCTAAATATTCATAAAATTAAATTACTTCCCTTGTTTTAAAAAGCACTATTCAAATTCTTCTACACTTTAATTAGTTGGGCCTGGTGGCGCACACCTGTAATCTCAGCACTTGGAAGGCTGAGGCAGGAGGATCGCTGTGAGTTCGAGACCAGCCTGGGCTACATAGTGAGTTCCAGGTCAGTTTCAACTACACAGTGAGACAGGGTCAAAAAAAAAAAAAGTAATTAGATCCATATGATTACCTGGGATGAGGGTAGAGAGAAACAAATCTAATTTCAAATAGTGATTAGTATTTTAATACAATAAAAAATTTAAAAACCATATAAAATTTAAAATACCTTACTAGCACTTTTAAAAGATTGAGAAGTAGTGATTGAGAGATTGATAGATGGGTAGTGGAAAGAGGCTGAGTATCTTATTATTATTATTATTATTTGTTTCTGGGTTTTTTTTTTTTTTTTTTTTGAGACAGGTTCTCACTATGTAATTCAGACTGACCTGGAACTCACTATGTAGCCCAGGCTGGTCTCGAACTCACAGCGATCCACCTGCCTCAGCCTCCCGAGTGCTGGGATTACAGGCATGTGTCACCATGCTCGGCTATTATTATTATTTGTACCGGGGATTGAACTCAGATCCTTGCGCTTGTAAGGCAGGCAGCAGCACCACTGAGCTAAATTCCCAGCCCCTCTTGTAATTATTTAAAACCTTTTTGGAAATTTTGTTTCCTCCAGTCTTTTGTTCAGCAGACTCAGCCTAACACCAGCTTCCGCCTGTGTTTTGAAAAGTGTTGGGCTTAGAGTAAGATGATTCCTGCTTAAAACCTGGCTCAGCCACTTATTTGTGTCTTCATGCAAAGTGTTTAACATCTTTGTGTTTCAGTTTTCATTACGGAGATTAAAGTGCTGCTTTCCCAGTGTTGTGAGAATTAAACGAGAAAGTGAAAATGGAGGAAACAAATTACTTTTCAAACAGGAAGTAATACCAATACTGGGCCATATCATTAGGGATAATATCTTCAGAACCATAAAATGCAGTAATTTAAGATGGAATTAGTAAATGTTAGCTGGAAAGGTTTCATTGCTGATATATATGTACAAAGGCTACAAGTATGGAATTTGATGGGTCTATATTTGTATCACATCTGCTAATCATGAGCTGAGTGACTGGGAGCCAGCCACTTTAACCTCTTAGAGCCCCAGTTTTTAACTTGTAAAATAATGATGATGCTACATATGGTGCTTGTAGAATCACAGGAGATAATATAAACACAAGACTGTCAGTCACATTAGATGGTAAAGTGTAGGATATATTTATTTAAAAGTATACTATATTTTGGTACTGGGGATTGAACTCAGGACCTTGTGCTTGTGAGGCAGGCAGTGGCACCTCTGAGCTAAATCCCTGGCCTTACTATATATTTTAAGGTTCTAGTAATTCCAGTATTATTATGGATTCTGCAGTTATTACTTCAGATAGATGAACCTAGACATATTGGTCAACAGGGCATTATTACCACTCTTTTGGAAGTAGGAAAATGAGCCCAAGACATACATGATGGGCTTGGCCAATCATTCAGAGGAACCAGGTGCTATGGTCTGAATGTTGTGTTTCCCTTAAAATGTCTATGTTGAGAAATGATCCCCAGTACTATGAAGAGGTGAAGCTTTTAGGAGATAATCTCAGGAATGGGATTAGCGCCCTGTAAAAGGGCCTGAGGAAGCTTGCCTGCCGGTTTGCCATGTGAGGATGTAGCAAGAAAGTGTCATCGTGAAGCTGGGAGTGAGCTCTCACCAGACTATGTCTGCTGGTGCCTGGACCTTGGACTTCCAATCTCAAGAACTGAGTTATAAATTTCTGTTGTTTGTAGACTATCCCATCTAAGGCATGTTTCATAGCAGCCTGAATGGATCAAGACATCAGGCTAAAACAAGTCCATGGTTACTGTCCTCAGTCTCTGTGCTGAATTCACATTATTAGTTTCAAAAGACACTTAGCATTATATATGGGACATTGTGTGTGTGTGTGTGTGTGTGTGTGTGTGCGTGTGTGTGAAAAAGAAAGTAGTTATATGTACTGAAATTGAACCACACACACATACAGCTATATCCTGTTCCATAATATGGCTTCATTTGGATTAGACACACACAATCCAATCCTAGAGCACTTAACAATCATCTGTGTCTATGTTAAGGTACAGTTTAACAGTTGCAGGAACGATTCTTATTTTTAAATCAGTGTCAGTGATTTTTGACATGCCTGACTCCTTCCCTTCTCCTGCCTCTTGATGTGTTTGCATCTAAACCAGAACACTTTACAGTTTTATATTAGGCTTTCTCTTCTGATTTGATTTGCAAGACTTGTAGATAAGCACCCTCTTGGACTACTCCTGAAAAATCAAGTCCTTGCCTGAGGCCCAAAGGATTTTGTAGCCATGGTGATTAGCAACAGCATTCCTGTTTGGGAAACTCTTGAGGGAGTCTGGTTACCTCCTTACACAGTCACAGTGCAGGCAAGATCCACTTCGTGGCGTAGTGGTTGTGGTCCTAATATCAGGTCTTGTTTGCCTTTATTTTGAACCACTTTAGCATAGCAGTTTGCATTCCAAATAAAACTTAATGCTGCTTCTTGCCATTTGTATAATCTCTGAATAACCAGGACAGCTTGCTCACTTTTTCTCCACAACTGTAAAGAAATACTACATTAAAATTAGATTCCATAAAAATAATTTTCTACTTTTCTTGTTCCTTTGTGGGGTTCAGTAGTTAGTATTCTTTAGAGAAAGAATGTAAACATTCTTAAACTGGGTGCAAATATCTGTACTAAATATCACTACCACTGTGCTACTCCCAATTTTGTTTCCAAATCCAAACACCCTTTTAAACTTTTGATTGAGATATACAGTTACAAACCAAATAGCCCTACTTAGATGTCTAATAGGTATCCCAGACTTAATATGGTGAAAGAGGATTCTTTATTCTTTCACCTCAAACTCATGCTCCTTCAAGGTTTTTTATGTTAGTAAACTACACCACATACTCAGTTGCTCAGGTAAAAACCTTGAAGTTCTTCTTCTTCCTTCTTTTTCTTGCCTCTCCCATTTAATCCATCAGGAAGTCCTATCAGTTCTTCGTAAGAAAGAGCACTCCAAATGACATGTTGGTGGTCTTCTTGCTTCTACCCTTTACCCTTACAGTCCATTGTAAATATCCCCTCACTCACATCACACTACATGCCCTCGCCTTATTTTATTTTTCTCCAGAGCACTTAT